AGAATGAGCTGAGTTTTTGGTGACTCAGTGGGTGGATTCTGATAGTGGTTGCTGTTTTCCCCCTAATATTTTCAGCTTTTCTTCTTCTAGGCTCATGGAAGTGTGCCACTTCCCTGCATCCTCTGAAGTTAGGCGGGCAGAGTGACATGCCTTGGCCAGTGGATAGTGACACTTCAGCTACCATGAGCAGAACTGAACACCTCTCTGACCTGCATGTTGCATGAGCAAGCAATAAATGTGTATTGCATGAGGACAGTTAAGGGAAGTTTGTTATTACAGCATTACCTCTCCTAGCCTACCCTAACCAACACTCAAGCTTCAGGGGAAGGAGGAAATACCAGCCTTGACATTGAAATTCGAGATTTTTTTTAGCTCCTATCAAAGCAATAGTCTTGAAAGATAAGTTTGGCCAAAAAAAAAAGTATGTTATAAATTTTTTAAACTCTAATTATGTGTTGACATTCAGATCTGAAAGACTTCTATGGTCACTATGTGTCATCCCAGACAAGAAAAAGCTAAAGGAGTTCATCACCACCAAAGCAATATTGCAAGAAATGTTAAAGGGAATTCTTTAAGAAGAAGGAAAAAAATAAAAAATATGAATAGCAAAATGACAATAACTACATGCCTATCAATAATTACTTTAAATGTAAATTAAGAAATGCTACAATCAAAAGATATAGGATGACTGAATGGAGAAGAAAATAAGATCTATACATATGCTGCCTACAAGAACCCACTTCAGATCAAAAGACATGCACAGACCAAAAATAAAGGGATGGAAAAAGATATTTCATGCAAATAGAAATGAAAAAAAAGCTGGGTTAGCAATACTTATATCAGACAAAATAAATTTTAAAACAAAGCCTATAACAAGAGACAAAAAAGGACATTTCACTTACAATAACCAAGATATGGAAACAACCTAAGAGTCCATTGATAGACTATTGGGTAAAGAAGATGTGGAACATACATACCATGGAATATTCCTTGGCCATAAAAAGTGAAATCTTATCATTTACAACAACCTAGAGGGTATCATGCTAAGTGAAATAAATCAAACAGAGAGAGAAAAATACCATATGATTTCCTTATATGTGGAATCTAAAGAACAAAATAAACAATCAAAACAGAAACAAACTTATAGGTACAGAGAACAAACTGATGGTAGCCAGAAAGAAGGGGGTTGGAAGCTAGGGGTTGGGGAGATGATGGGATTAAGAGGTCACTTGGTTCTATTCCCAGTCAGGGCACATGACCTGGTTGTGGTTGCAGGCTCGATCCCCAGTAGGGGGCGTGCAGGACACAGGGGATTGATGTGGATGTTTCTCTCTCATCCATGTTTCTCTCTCTCTCCCTCTCCCTTCCTCTCTGTCTAAAATCAATAAAAACATATTTAAAAAAAAGAAATACAAATTGGCAGTTACAAAATAGTCACTGGGATGTAAAGTACAGAACAAGGAACATAGTCAATAATATTGTAATAACTATGTATGGTGTCAGATGGGCACTACACTTATCAGGGCATTCACTCTGTAAGTTACATAAATGTCTCATCACTATACTGTATATCTGAAACTAATGTAATATTGAATGTCAACTGAACTGAAAAACAAAATAAAATCAATGAGAAAGGTTACTATAAGTCAGAGAGCTGAGGTTATGATAATGATAATAACAATATAGTGATAGCCACCACCAGTTTCTTTCTATATGATGGTCCTGTGCTAGATATTTGAGGAATATTATTTCTCTTTTTTTTTTCTCCCAGTTAATCCTCACCCGAAGATATTTTTTCCATTGATTTTGAGAGAGAGAGAGACAGGGAGTCAGACAGAGAAAGAGAAAGAGAAAGAGGGAGGGAGAGAGAGAGAGAAATCAGTGTGAGAGAGGCATTGGTCAGTTGGTTGCCTCCCACATGTGCCCTAACTGGGGTGGGGAAGGAACCTGAAACCCAGATGTGTGCCTTCAGATCCGTAATTGATCCCACAACCCTTTGGTGTCAGGCTGGCGCTCTAATCACTGAGCCACAAAGGCCAGGGCTGAATATTAACTCTTTTAATCTTTCTAGCAAGTATATGAGATAGATAACACTATACCTCTAGGGAACTTAGGCACAGAGAGGTTAAGCAACTTGCCCAAGGTCATGCATCTGGTAAGTGGTGGAGTCAGAATTCAAATTTAGACTCCAGGTTCAGGACTGGGGTAATGAAAGTGATGTGAGTCATGCAAGCACAGGATCAGATTCAATCTTTATTTTAAACATTTGGGTGAAGGTGGTCAAAAGGCACAAACTTCCAGTTGTAAAATAAATAAATCTTGGGATGTAATGCACAGCACAGTGACTATAGATCGTAATACTGTAATTGTATATTTGAAAGTTGCTAAATGTTCTCATCACAAGAAAAAAATAGTTAAAAAAGAAAAACAAAAAAACCCCACATTTTGACATTTTGTTCATCCTGCACATTTTTGGGTAATAATTTATTGACTTTTTAAATAGTTACACTAGCATATTATTTTGCTTGATCACTGAGTTTTGGGGTGCCCCCTTGCTTTTGCACCTGAGTGTCTCACCTCACCCTGCTAGGCTGGCTGGCTTTAGATTCTAATCATTTAGCCTTTGAGTCATACAAACCTTTACCACGGAGAAATGGGGAAAATCCCAACTCTTCTAGTCCTACAGAGGAGACAGGGATGGGGTAGGGGAAATCAGTGCTAAGGCGGGGTGTCCTGTTGTACCCCTTCTCCTAGCTGAAATCCAAGAAGTGGGAAGCATGGTATTAGTTAAGGGAGAGGGGCTGTAGCCAAGGGGCCTTTGTCTCCTTCCGGTTCAGAACCCTGCAAAAGAGGAAACCAAGGGGCATAGCCCTCTGGCAAGTTGGGAACATTTACAGCAAAGGGGCAGTGAAAGGGCGGCCAAGTCAGAAGACCCGTCTTGCACCTTCAAGCTGTTCTCACTTCTCGGGCCCGGCCGTTAGTTGGGTGTGGATGGCTCAGAGTGCCCTCATGGGTAAAGCGGAAGGCAGACAAAAATAAGCCCTTTGGGCTTGAGGCTTCTCTTAGGAAGAAGATGATCTTACTTCCCTTGTCCAGATTGCTTTCCAGGGGCTTCTCCCCTCAATTCCCTCCCCTGCACTGTACCAGGACATCCCTGACTTCTCAAAAGTAGTGAAGGGACTTAGCTGGCAAGAAAGATAAAATCTGTCCCTTTTCTACAACCGCTAGCATGAAGGCAAAGCCAGTTCTGGTTTCAGAACCTCCACCTTTCGCAGAACTGCACAGTCTAGAGAACTATTGATCTATGGAGAGCCACCCAGCAGCACCAACCTGTAATTCAAAGCAGTGGGAAAACCCAGGCTGTGTTAAGAAAGAGACATCTGCTAGGTTTTTAGCCAAAAGCTACATTCTCACTAATAAATTATTGAGGGGGGGGGTCCTCTTTGTTAGTACAGATCACAGCACACTGAATTTTTATGTGTGGCATCTGTGTTTGTGACATATGTAAGTGCACTTATAAATAAACTCCTTGAAGTAAAACTGCTGGGTGTATCTTGATTGATTTCCCCAAACTGTACTTCCAAATGTTTAGATCCATTTCAAATCCCAGCCTCCAATTCTCTTTCCAGTTCTCTAAATATGAATGAGACTATTCCAATGCATTTGTATTGCTTTTTGTAACCTAGCTGCCCACATTTGTTTTGTTTTTCTAAGGGGTATTAGTCGCTTCTTACTGGCTTAACTTCTGAGTTATTTAAATCTTAAGGAAATCAATCTGGCTAACAATGGCTCTGTTTTTAGCTTCTGTTGGCAGAGGCAATCCTTGGCATTCCCTGACATGTAGATACATCTCTCCAATCTCTGCCTCAGAGTCCCATGGCCATCTTCCTCTCCTTTTCCTATAAAGATACCAGTCATTAGATTTAGGGCCCACCCTGACGCAGTGTGACCTCATCTTGGCCTAACTACACCTGCAAAGACCCTACTGCCAAATGAGGTCACACACCAAGGTTCTAGGTGGACACAGATTGGAGGGGGCAGAAGCTATTCAGCCCTCTACAACCATCAAAAACAGGAGGACTCGCCCTGGCCAGTCTGCTCAGTGGTTGGAGCATCAGCCCAGGAACAAAAGGGTCCCATGTTCAACTCCTGGTCAAAGGCAAGTCTCTGGGTTGCAGGTTTGATCTCCACCCCAGTCGGGGCATGTGCAGCAGGCAACCAGTTGATGTGACTCTCTCACATCAATGTTTCTCCCTCCTTCTCTCTCTCTCTCTCTCCTCCCTCCTTCCCTTCCACTCTCTATAAAAATCAACAGAAAAAATTAACACAAAAACACAAACAAAAACAAGTGGGCTCGGGGGACCAAGGGGAAGAGAGAACTGAAGGGCAATGTGGGATGTTTCTATCAGAACAGGTAGGGCCCATTCATCGGCTTCTGCTCTGTTCCTACTGGGCAGGTGAGCCACGTGGTCCCAGCGGTGCTGCTCCACTGCAGCCAGGGAGGCTGGGAGATGGACAGGAGCACGTGGATGTTTGGGGAGCCCCTCCCCAGCCCCACCGTACGGGTGCCCAGCACGGCGTCGGGCCGGCCGTCGATGCTCCGGGGAGGTTTGCTGAATGGGAGCGTGAGGGACTGAGCGCGGGGAGCCGACGGGGAGGCCGCGGAGCCGGGCGCCTCTGCGTCCCCAGGGACCTTCGGAGGCCGGGAGGAATTCCCCCCG